CCCAGTCCTGGGTCTACTCAAATCTGATGAAAGCTATAGAAAGACAGACTACAGAGAAAGCCTCAGAAACAAAAAGCTTTGTGCTTCTTAGAAATTTTTCCTATTTGGATAGCTAATTTTTTTTAAACTGACTTTGCTTTATCCTTAATGAATGTACCATATCCAAGTCTCATTATCAAACCTCTCTTATCTCAAATGTCAAAAATAGTAACTTTTATAAAATAGCTGGTAGTGTATGCCTACTCCCAAACTATAAATCCATGCCATCAATTATTGCAATTTTAATTCCCTAGTTAGCAAATACCCTTCATCTGTCAACACTATTAAGCAATGAAGTAAACACGGCAGTAAGACATTAGTTTGATAATGCTTGCCAAGTTTGATAAAAAAAAAAAAAGATTCTGTTATTAATATACTAACAAATATATAAGGCTGAGTGACTTATTTTGCTCAGTCCATTTAAATTAGCACCAGAGAGGAAGATGTGTGTCCTTACCAGCACCTGCAGTGAGAACCTTACAGTTCACAGCAGATTTACCTCTTTTTCCTTGGTTTATTTTAAGAACTTATAAATGGAAAGACACTTCCAACTGTGTTAGTCTATCAGAAGATAACCTGGTTCAGATTTGTCTTCACTGCACTGATAGCATACAGTGATAATTCTTCTAACCTTATGGGGTGAGGAAATATTTTTCATTAAGTCTTGGTGGCACCAGTTAATTGTCTAAATATTAGTTTACTTGGTTGAGATTTAAATAATATTTTAGCTTAATCTCATTAAAAGAGAACAAACAACCAAATAAATAACCTTCTATTTACCTGGAAGTGACAAAGGTATCGTGGAGTTGCAAGACCTGTGCTCCCTCTCGAACAGCATTTAAGCAGAAACTTAAAACTGAGAAAATTTTGCAAGCCTGAGAGCATAGAACATGCATCACGAAAGGGGTGGCACGCTGTGTCTGTACCCTCCACTCCTGCCACAGCCTTGGGAACCAGGCAGAGGAGTTTATAGGGCATTGGAAATCTGGAAGTTTTGTTACAATTTGCTCCCTTACTCCCCCACCACTCACATCCTTCCAGATCAAGGACATCTCTCCACAGCTCTGCAGGCAGATGAACGTGCACTCTTGCCATGCTGCAAGCTGACAAAAAGCTGTGTCAAGTTATTTCACATTCTTGTGACCCTCATGAATAAAGCCCCTGCTGGAAGGTACAGTGGATCAGCTTGGGCTCCATGCCTGATTTAGACAGTTTGCATGAGCTGAAAAACACAAACACTCCAAAGTATTTTCTGTTAACAGAAGCACACACATACACATATATATACGTGTGTGCATGCAGTCTACAGAAAACTCTAGTTATAATCATTGCTTTATCTTGCTTCACAGTGTATCAAAGGGATCATGAACCTCATGGAAATATTGCCAGTGAAGTACTGTGTTTTAGTTTACAATCTTCTGAAGTACTTCATTATGACTAACAGGCAGCCCGCTCAAGCAGCCATCTGAAAAGCCAGAGATTTCTTTAGCTTTTTCTAATTTCTTTATTTGTGTAACCATTTAAAAACTTGACTAATGCTTCTGCAGACTAGGACAAGAATAAAACTTTTTTTGTGCTGCTGTGTCAAAAGCTTTTGTAATTTCCTACAGGGACATCACATCAAGATGAAGTCTCTTTGTGGTCAGCCTTACTAACTTTGCAAAGCAAAGTGTGACCAGCTCTAACACAATCTCTTAAGAGAACAGCAGTAAAAATGCCATGGCTATTGACTGAGGCTAGAAGAGAAGTGGTGTAAGAGGTGATGTCCCTGTTCATAAAACACCTCTGGCACTCACCCAAGACTACTGCAAGGAATTAGCAAAGTCAAGGCTTGGCTCTGAGCATGACATTTGAACCAAAGAAAACAGAATCTCCTCCATGGACTTTCAAAAGAATTGTGAGCCCTTTCTACCTACCAATAACAGGCTTATTTTTCCATGTGACCTCAAGTGCCAACTCATGTCACTGCTCCACAAGCACCTGTGGAGGAGCTGGGTCTAGAAGAAGCCTCAAAACCAGGCTGCAGAGCAGGGCTGCAGCTCAGGGCAGCTCCTCATGGACAGCTCAGTTCTGCTTTCTCTCAGTGGCCCTCCCTAATCGCCTCTGCTCATCAAGGAGCAGGAAAAGAGAGGAGCACCAGTGCCCAGACAGCCTGGGGGCAGTGCAGGAGAAGCAGCAGAACCATGGCACGTGGCACGCTGGAGGAAGATGAAGAAATAAAGGAAAGAGAGGACAAAGAACCATGTGGAGGACGTGTGATCGCTTGCATGACACAGCTGCTGTACCCACACACATCTGTGTGTGCACCACGTGCAAGGCAGGGGCTGGGAGGCTGTAAGGAAGATTTACTAACAGAAATCTCAGCCTTGCTTGTGACACATGTACAACTTTCTATGCACTGTGGGTCAAACATTTACAAGAATGCCTCTTGCTTCTGGTAAAATCAACCACAGGAAGGGCAAGGAAGGATGTAGTGGTGGCAAAATGCAGAACCCAGCATTGCCCTGAAGAGTGCAACGACGAAAACTGAAAGTCAGAGCTCCCCAAAATAAACTGTCTGTGTTTGAGGGCTGGAACAGCAAAAAAAGGGAACTCTCAGTCTTTATTCTGCTATTACAGAGGGACCAAAAAGCTGTAACTGAAGCAAGTGGTCACCAGGAAGTGTAAGGACAGTGACTGAAGAGCCACACTGGTTGTAGAAAAAAAGGTAAGTCAGATGAAGTGCCACAACAAAGAAATATTATGTAAATCAGGTCAGCTAAGCCAAGCAGAAGGCCCAGGCACCAAAAAGTCACTCTGACAGCAAAGCAGAGGGTGTTTGGAGACTGAAGCCAGCAAAGGAACCCAGCAACAATGGCCTTGCTGAGGAGGGTCCATGCTTGTATCCTGCCCATCCCAGGGCGAGCAAAAAGGGCACACATGGAAAGAGTTTGGGGTCAAAGATCAGCAGGTCTGTGCCAAGAATTGCAGCATTTCATTAGCAGAGGACACAGAAGGGCCCCAGACTGCCTGTCCTTGCATTGCTTTGTTTTGATATGGGGTTTGACATGGGTGCAAAGCTATTGTAAACACATGTACTATGTTACAGAAATGCAAGAAAAAGAAAACAGTCTTTTTTTTTTTTTTTTTTTTTGTAAAAAAAGATGGATATTTTTACAGCATACACAGCCAATCACGACATTTAATTTTACAGAACAGGAAGAAGCTCAGTAAGTTGCTGTAAAAATATCCACCCTTATGCAACCAAAACGCCAGCCATGGATCAGGAATAGCTGTGGAGTGGCACCATGGAACTCTCCAGCACTGTGGATATGAACTTAGGGACAGAGCTTAACCTATCCCTCAGCCAGCTGGTGTGCCCCTGGTAGTGACCTCTTGTGTAAAATGACCACAGCATTCACTTCATATATAGCTTTAGGCCTATATTCCACGCCCCCAAACCACATTTTCCATGTCATAGACCCTGTTAAGTAATTTAACACAAACTGTAGGCAGAAGACAGAAAATACCAACATTTCGATTTGGCAGGCATTTAAATTTTCATTATAACCATTCTGACAAGGAGTAAATTCAGACAAGGTAAGGAGCTGCAGATGCTTTCCAAAAATACTGTCATCTCTGATGGGTATCTTATGTACAGCCCCACAGACAGCATGAGAGTAGAACATGGTCAACCACACCACCAACAACATAATAACAATACTGACTTATTTAAATCTTCTGTGAGCACACCAACATAACTCAGGAACTGTTTTTCTGCATTTCTTGCTTGAAAGAAACATTGCATAACACTACTGTAACTATAGATTGCTTTTTAAAATTTTTTTTTCCACTGAATATTCAATTCCTAACAACAACTTAACAACTTAATAAACATAATGAATGAGGAACACTACCTATCCCCATCTGTTTATTTCTTCTTACTTAAGGAAAAACCTTTTTTTAAAATTTGGCCCTTATATGAAATACCAAATTCTGAAATTGATGATATAGCCAAGAAGTTCATGGTCCTTACTCTTTCAATTACAAAAAAAACTTTTCAATATTCCGAATATAGTTGAAAGAGAAACTATATTTGACACCAGCTACTCCAAAGAATAAACAGTCCATTAAATAACAACCTCCAGTGTACATTCTATCTTTACCAGTAGAGAAGTAAAAGTGATCAGAAAAAGCTTGAGGGCACTACAGCATAATTTGAAAGGCGAAAGCAGTGAAAAGGCCCAATTATTATTATTGGCAAAGTAATATATCTAAAATAATAGGAATCTTCTGAAATCAAGTTCACTTGGTATCACAACTGAAGGCACTATTTAAAATACACCAGTAATGGTAACACAATTTATGAATTTATGATCTGTTAATGTTAAAAGAAGACAAATTTAAGCAGTCACTGTTTTGCTCTACATTGCTATTTCACAGAAATAACAATTGTGTGAAATTTCTCCTCAGTGGGAGGACCTACATATTCAGGGCAGGGAATGGCTCTCAAGGAAGCTCCTTAAGACTGAGGGATTCCCTGGTAAGTGGTTAAGAGCATGCTAAACTCTGAATGCTTGATGGCTACATGATAGAAAGGATTGATCATGTGCAGATAAACCTTTAGGCAATCTGTTGGGAAAGGCTGGGACTAAATCTGGATCCAGCTGCATTTAAACTCTCCTCTGAGAAGGAGTTTAGAATGCAAGGGGATCCTTCCTTAAGATCATGACTCAACAGGAGGGTCACCCTGACAGTGTTGGCTGAGCCTGTCCTGTCTGCAGTAAACATTCAAGTGTGCCTTGCCACTGAACTTTGTTAACCCACTGCCTCATCTGCTACCAAACTTTGGTTTTTATCACTAAACACATTGTTACTTCTCTCTTACTCCTGAAGGGCATGACTCCACCTGTAACAATGTGGAGTTTAACCATGTAATGCTTTTCTGGAAGCTGTCCCAAAACAAGTAAACAAAGACATACCTGATGTGCCAAAATATAGATATTATGGCCAACATCTTTTGGGGAGATGCCATCATCTCCATTCTCCTCCTCGTGGTCACATTCCAGACCTTGGTTGTAGGCATTCTTCATCACATCCACCTGCAACACAAACCCAGCCAGGTAGACAGGAAATAAACGTGGTTCTTGGGAAAAAATTCACTCTGAACACAGCCACTTTGCTCCGCTCCAGCCTGCATGGGTGCCCTGCAGTTCTGCAAGAAGAGTGAGCAGCCTGAGAAACGCTTTCTGAATAAAGAAAAGCTTGAAGGATTTATGAAGCTCCAAACCACTACATTTTTCATCAGCAACTATGAGAAAGTAACAGGAATGCTGAGCCTTTGTGAGCAGGTATTTTCACAAATGCTTCTAAAGACTGGTCTAGATATGGCAGCAGGTGTTGTGCAGCACTTAGAGTGCAGTCATGATCTTCTTCTGGCCAGAGCAGGCAGCAGCACAATTTCACAGGAAAACCACACCTAAACCAAAAAGGAAAGGAAGATCTGGGCAGGGTGCTGGGGAAATTCCAAATATTCAAAAGCCTCTCAGAGGACCACCATAGGGTTCCCCACAAAAGGCCCGATCCTGCAGCTGTACCCTAGGGACAGCCTCATCCTGCTGAATGCCACCTTAGTGGTGACTCCCAGAAACCAGAAGGCACTGGGCTCTGCCTAAGGGCAGGGAGGATGTCCCCAGATTCTTCCCCAGAACCCCTCAAGAATTCCCAGATTTCTCAGACTCTGTTGTTACACAGTCAAGTGGTATTGGAAATTACTTCCCCAGCTTTCCCTCCCATTTAAAGTTCCTGGAGACCTCCATAAACATCAAGGTTGTTCCAAAATACAGCAACAACTGCTTGGAACTCTTTTTGTTCATGAGACATAAATAAATAACATACATGTCTATTAAATATATTTGATGTCTACACACACATTTCTGTTAGCACTGCTTCACAAACTGTACAAGCTCAATTTGCCAGCCCCTGACAAACTGCACTTGAAGACAGACTACCAGAATATGATAATTTAGTTAGGAAACAATTAAAGAAAAGTCCTTGGAACGGATAAAAATAATGAAGTCGTAAAGACTGAAATCATGCATGCTTGATCCTTTTAAAGTACTTTTTGTGAATTAGTACTATCCTCATACATTGTGCCACCATACGCTGCCACCACTTCTCAGCTTAGATACAGATCATTTAAAAAATGTTTTAATGACAGATTTTTTTTTTCAGCCAAAAGATTTATGAATATTCACAAGTTTTCTCACCAGTTCTCTTGGTCTCATGTTGAAAAGGATTCTTTCCGCATTCTCACTGTCTTGCCTGCTTTCCATAATAGCCAGCAAAAGCTTGGAGGCATTGTTCTAGGGATACAAAACCAAATTAATGCAAATTTTAAATCTCTTCCATGGATTAATGACCCTTGCATTTGTTTTAATTGAGATTATGAGGACCACTTGCATCTTTTATTTTACTGACATATTTAATAGGGTTTTTTTTAATGTCAGCATACCGAAACACTTACTGTGCACGCTATATTGGAAGGAAAATTTTAAACACTGAAAAATATTTGACTTAAATACAGAGTGTTGCCATAGACTGTGTATAAGAAATTAAATTTCATTTCCTTTCCGTATTTCCCACTTAGCAATTTTTGCCTTGGCTTTCTATTAAAACAAGACTCAACAGAGGTAATTACAAAACATATTACACAAAAGGTTTTATCATTCAGGCAGGTTTCCATCCCCTTTGGTTTTTATGAATTCTAACTGGTTATTATTTGAAAGGCTGGAAAATAAACTGTTTTCATGCACTCCTGAGGTTTTGTTTCACTACTAAATATTCCTGGGGGAATATATAAAGACAACCTTTGCTATGTCAGCTGGCTGCTTTTCCCCAAAACGGCTCCTCAGGATTACACAGCATGAGCTTTAGCTGCAGTAGCCCCGTGGTGCCTCAGAGACCTGCCTGTCTCCCAGTTAAATCAGCTGTGGTGAATTGGAGAGGAAGAATGGTCCTGGAGGTTTGGTTGCCTTCTGGCAGAGCAGGGCTGCCTTGGCTGACCTGTCACAGCATCTCCATCATTCCCTGTTATAGACTGAGCTGTTGGAACACTTGGAAGCAGGAGACAGTCCCCAGGGAAGAGGTAGGGGCCAAGAAAATTGCCAACCCACCCTACAGCTTCATTCTCAGCTGCTTATTGCCATTATCAACAATTCCAGCTGAAATTTTTCCAGGGAGGGGGTGCCTCAGACAATTGACATGGGCAGCTTCAGAGGAAAAGGGTTCAGCTGCTTTTGGGACCAGGGCAAAAAGAAATATGTTATTCCCTACATGTTCAGGCAACTTGTGTTTTAAGCAGCCTTTGTATCCCCAAGTTTTGATAATAGACCTAAAAATATGGAGCACTAGAGGCCAATAGAACAATCATACAAGTTGCAGTCTCCTAGTCAAACTTTTCCAACTCAGAAGCATTTTGCAAATTACAAATTGAGTATTATAGAGCAGAAACACACTAATTTCACAGCTAAAAGCCCACAGGGGTTATTCTTGGTGAGCACAGAATCACAAAAATGTGCAGGTTGGATCATAAGGCTGCCCTCTGGACTAAGATTCCAGCAGTCCAGCCTCTGCTTAAAGCAGCTTGCTCAGGGCTGTGTTCGGCTGAGGATTAAACACCTCTAACTGGAGGACAGAAGGATGAGACTGAAGGTAAATAGAAGGAGAGCAGATTACAATGAAGATTTGTACGTAACCGGGAAATTCAAAACTTCTGGGAGAAGAGACTGGGAGCTGAGACAGAAGCCAGGACAGAGGAGCTTGGGCTTGCCAACACAGGAATAAGATAAGGACAAAGAAAAAGAGATGAGAAGAAAAGACCTAACTAGGACTGGCTCAAGGAGCACAGCACTCCATATGAGTTTTGCCATGTCCCTTTCTTTTCGCTTCTAAATCAGATCAGGACCATCCATGGGAAAGGTCAAATTTACCTTGCGACCAACACTGCAGAAGTTTAATATGCACAGTGAACAAGAACAGGGGGAGGGAGAGGACAGTATTTTGATGAGGATTCCTGAGAAGATGCTGCTCTGAAAAGTAGGATGCTTCCTTTTCTGCTGCAGATTTCCCTCACAGTGGTGGCCAAGTCAGTAGTGGTAGGATCTCAAACTGAGGAGGAGGGAGGGGTCCATGAGAGGCTCCCAGGAAAGGAAAGGGAGGAAACAGGAGGAAGGCATCAGTCCACTCACTGATAGCTGAGGAGGACTTTGAAGCTCTTTCCCAGTGCAGACAGCCCTGGGGATGTACTGCCTGCTGCAGCTTCCAGAAAGCTGGGAAAGGTAGAGGGTAGGTAGGACTTTGTGTCATGACTCAGCAGAAGTGCCTTGTCACGGTATAGAATTACAGCAGGCATTTGAGATGGTTATTTGGCTACTTATTCCTCACTTTCTGCATATTTGGAAAGCCTAGAATCTGATTTATAATCCCCAACATCAGTAAGGAAAAGACATCCATCACTTGGAAAACATGGCACAAAGTTCATAACACATTAGTACTGTGAAAAATCAGTTTCCAAGTGCTAAAAAAACAGCACAGCCCAAAGCACTTCTACTCTTCATTTCACCTTTACCTGGGCTCCCATCTCATCTCCTGATAAAAATTTTGGAAAAACAAATTAATGAGTGAAGCAACTAGATACAGCTATGAGGGGAAAAAAGAAGACACTTGTCTTAAGATTCTCTGTACCCTTAGACTGACAATGTCTCTTCATCCTGTCACAGATATGGCAGATATTGAGCTCTTCCTGTGTGTCAGGGCTTACACACTGGTCAGTAAGGAAGGCCAGGGGGTCACACTCCAAATAAAAGGAAGCAGAATAGAACACTGGCCATCTATGAACTCAGTGAACACTGTCTGGTCTGCTCACTAAATGATTTGGGAGTCCACTGGAAAATATAATCCATGAAGATGTAATTAAATGCCACATCAAAAACTAAGTGCAAAACAAGCTAAACTAAGATGGCATGGGAAAAGTAACTCTACATTGCCTTTCCTTTGGTTGGAGGGTGTAAGTTCAACATACAATCTTCCCTGAAAACAGTGTCTGAGCTTGTTTATAAGTGTAAATTTATGGGCCTGTATACTTTGAATTCTGTGGAAAATGTATGTATTTGCAACTTCAAAGTTGCCTATAACCACTGACAGAGTGTAAATGTTAAATATCACCTGGTAAACTCATTGCTTTATTATTTCAATGTGTTGCCACTCCAAATCAAAAACAGCAGCTTCTTAATTTGGGTCCCATTCTTGAGATCACATCTTGCCCAGCAACGTGTCCAGACCCAGTACAAGAGTGATATGGACATAATGGAATGGGTCTAGCAAGAAGCCATAAAAATTATGAAGGGAATGAAGCATTTTTTATATAAGGAGCCACTGAAAGTTGTGATTGTTCAGCCTGGAGTACAGATGCCTTAGATGGATCTTATCAATGTGTATAAATACCTGGTGGGAAGAAATGCAGAAGAGGGTGCCAGATCCCTCTGAGCACTGTCCAGTGAGAGAGCAAGAGACAAAATAAAACACCCATGAAATTCTATCTAAACACCAGAAAAGACTTTTATGCTGTGAGAGGAATCAAGCAGTGGGATGGTTGTGGAGTCTCCAGCTGTGGAGATACTCAGCCAGACATGATCCTGAGAAAACTGCTCTAGCTGATACTGCCTGAGCAGGGGGCTTGGACAAGATGACCTCAAGACATCACTACTAAAGCAAATGACTCTTGTGATTGTGCAAAATTTGAATCGTTTCCACAGTCTGAACCTCTGCTATCGTTCACCACAATTTTTGCAAATTGAGTCAGTCAGAGCACAGCCAGCCTCCTGTGAACAGGGTCACGCTGCTCCTTGCAGAGGTGTCTCTAAGCTCTGTGTTTGGTTACTACACAGAAAAGCTGTTCTACAAGCATTTGCTCGCCTCATCACAATAGCAAATCAAAATGGCACTGGAGTGAATGCAGATACATCTTTACAGAGACTGAAATTTGGACTTCAAAGAACTGTCTGCATGTTCAAAGTTAAATGTCTGCCTAAGTGTTTTGCTAGAGGGGGGCCTGAATTACATTACCATTCAAAAAATAATTACAGTTATTAAAATCATATGTAAGGCACTGTTGATTCAATGTTTCATTGTACATGATATATAGCTATATTAATTATTTTATTAGACATGTAATACATTGCCAATATGATGCAATGCAGCTACCACAAAGTATTTGCTGGTCTGGGGAGGAAACAGACCATCTGCAATGGAAATACTTAATTTGGGAGGCAAGAAAAGGCAATAATCCTGGACAGATTCTATCCTGCTTGGCAGACAGTACAGCTGCAGAGCTCCCCTCTGCATGCACTGGCACACAGGCAGGAGAAACTTATCTACAAGCCTGTCCAACTCTCCCCAGAATACAGAACAAAATTACATTATAAGCCCTCCCGCTCTAGGCTTTGCCCTCAACTCCACTGCTTCCCCTCAAAGGACACTTAGAAGGGAAATAAGGTACAATTTACTTGAACCTTGTTTTCAACTTTATTTGACACTGCAGGTCATCTGATGTATTCTTCTTTTTCACAGCATTTCCTACTCAAATAATTTTTAAGAGTTTGGTATTTAGAGTGAAGGCCTGACTTGTTGCATGCCTGTACAGTATGGCTATTTATCAATCTTGAGAGATTTTACATCCACAATACAGACTTTTCATGCTACCTGTGTCATGCCTGATTGATAGGATTTAAAAAAATAGAAAAAGCTGAGGACATAGTCCCAAACACAGCAGTGGGTCAAAAGGCCTGTGGCAGAGGGCCTGATAAGGATTCAGAAGCTGAGATTAACTCATTTGCAATAATTTTTTTTCAAAGGCTTCTGAGTATACTGCGCTATGGTAAGATTAAGTAAATGTCAGGCTGCCTAGAGCTCTCCCATAGGTATGTCTTCTGTTTCTGCCCAAATTCAAATAAACAAATTTACATATACTGTACCTTGAGCTGAAGCACCAAGTCCATGCAGTATTTGCCAAGAGGGTTTATGTCATTCAAGATGAGAGCAATTATAATATCAATCCCATTAGACTCATGGGTGGCTATGCATGTCTGCAAAACAAGAGAAGAGAAGGGAATGGGGCAGGGGCAGAAGGGAGGGAAGGAGTGGGAAAAAGAGGGAGATGATACAGCCAGAGGGAGGAAGAGAATATGCACATCAGCAAATTTCCAAAATAAGGACCCAGAACTTAAAACACCTTACAAGAGCAATGAACCCTTCAGCCAAAGCAGAACAGCCTGAAAACACATGACAAGAAGTGCTAGGGGTGACTTGTGTGTACAGAACTAACCCAAATACTGCCAGGAGTGAAATGCCCAACTGGAAAAAAGGTGGTGCAATCTAAAATCTGCTCCCAGAGAATCCCACAGGGCTTGGCACCAAGCAGTACAACTTGCAGACAGCAGCCGTCAGGAGCACTGCCAGATTCAGCTGAGCACATGACAGCCTCAGACATAAAAGACAAGCTTGACTGCAAGCACAACCAAATTTGCACGCTCAGATTCTTCATTTGCCCTCGGCAGCCAGCATTAATATTGCTGTTACGGCACAAAATGTTCAGGAAAATCAAAGTAGTCTCCATGCATCTGGACATAGCCTGCAAAGAAGGGTATTTCTGGATATGGAATTCAAAATTGTATTTGTGACCAGTGGTATTTCCCAAATGCCTTTACAGCTGGAGGTCTGGACCTTCTAGGCCTTGTGCATAACAGTCAGCTATACAAGAACCTATGGCACTTCTTCCTCTGTCAGGTTTATGGGACAATTGCAGAAGTCTTCCAGGAAGACAGAGAGAGGTAGAAAAATGAAAATGAGAGTGTGAAGCATTTGCCGTTGAAATATATTGAAATGGACTTGCAGTTGGTGTAAACAAATGTAACTCAAATCCTGAGTGACTTCCCAGCAGATAGATCTAAATAATAAAGTGTAATTCATCATTCCCCTCCATATCAGTGTTCCTCCAATGCTTCCCACGTAACTTTGTTGGAGAACATGTTAACTTGTAACATTTTTTAAATCTCCAGTCTTGTAGCTATACTTTTTTATAGTTGTTTTTCCCATTCATAAATGGTTTAAATATTACTGTTCAAAATTTAGTCCACTAAAGGATTTCTATTTGTTTTTAAAATATTAAATAAAAGCAGCTGATTACCAGCAATGGCAGTAACAGCACTTTACATTTCATTGGTGCACATTAATGAAAAAGCATTAATACTTGCATGTATTTCTTCAACTATTTCTAGCACAGAGAACAGATTGCTTCTGTAATTTGCTCACCACAATTTTCCCACTGCTAATCCATAGCAAAAATTCTGCAGTTTCATCCACTATGACAATTTTACTGCAGTTCTCTTCAGATCAAATATGGCAGCATGTAACCACATCCTTTACCTTCCTACAGTTCTTCAGCACAGCACTAAAGAGACTTCTACCAAAAATCACAGCTGTGTGACTTCAAAAGGCTGCAGTGAGCAAGGCACGGAGATCAGAAGCGTAGTCTTAATCTATCCATTTCACTCCTGATACCATAATTAAAGATGCTGATAGGTGGTACAGTTAGGAGGGTGAGTTAAACTTTGTGGCAGTTATGTGAAATAAAGAAAGTAAATGTTAGCAAAGTGTATCAACACCAACAAGGGCAAAATGTGTGAAAACGAAACACGTTGAAACACAAACAAGCCTGTGGTTGCAGTGCACTTCCAAAACCGGGACTCCAAATCCACTCTCACAAAATGAGGTTTAAGCCATGGACATGAGAACACAAAACATGAAACGCTCTCCAAAAGGTCTGCAAACCCTCAGAGGAAGAGAGGTACTACAGGAGGAGTCTGTTTTGAGTTCTGACTTTAAAGGGTCGCTCAGGTCCCATGAAAGCTTGAAGTGTGTTAAGTCTAGTCATAGCAGCTCCGAGTGAATTTATGTTATCAGGAATACCCAAAGGTTTGTGATAAGCACCCAGACACCAACATTCAGGTACAGCCTTCTGCATCCAGAAGTTCTTGAGCCCTACCTGATTTTCGTGGCACGGGCCCTGGCAATATTCTGTCAAGCTTTCCAGCGTCTGGTTGACAAGAGCCACATTCCTCTCATTGATGTACAGCCCCAGTAAGCCCAGCCCACCTGTGGTGCTCCCACAGATGCAGTCCAAAAACTGAAGGGTCTCACAAACGAGGTTGTAATTTGTTTTATTGTTTTGATGTCTTAAAAAATTCTGGTGGGTGGAAGAAAGGAACACAAAACAAATCAAAACAAAAAATAGGAAGAGAGTCAAGGCAAACAAAGTCTTGTAGTCTTTTTTTGTGAAAACATTGAAGGATGTAATTTATAACCATATGACCACTGTGTCTCAGACTCTGAAGTACACTGAACTACTATAGAAAATATATTAGGTCTTAATGCACCAATTGAGAACTATTATCTGATTAAATCGTAGAGCAGGGAGGGCTTAGGAAAGTGAACTTGGCAAACATCTGCACTGGCCTTAAATGTCTTTTATATGTCCTGCAGACCTGCTCCCAGTCACCCATTACAGCCCTGCTCTCGGAAGCTGTTGCCCCACAGCTAAGCACACTATGGAGCTCAGCTCAAACCACCTCAACCACAGCTGGAACAGGGGGAACCACTCCTGGCCACAGCACTGATGTATATTTGCAGAAAATTCATTTTGCAGAGGTTGCTATGGGGACAGTAATTTCTATCAAAAGAATTGATAGCAGGGACACAGAGAGCATCCTAAAGCCTTCAACTGTGATACTTTGGGAAAGGGGCAGCACCCAGAAACTTCCTGTGCTCTTCAAGTCGGTGGTAAGTGATCCACCGACTGACTATAGGAACCTAACTAACAGGGACATTTAGACCCTCTTTAGTTTCATGTGGTTGTGCTGAGACCCACAGGCAATTCTGAGGCTATAAACATGCACTCCTCCAACACACAACCCAAAAGGTTCTTGAAAAGGGCTTTATAGGCCTTGGACCAAAAAACCCCAACATTTCAGATAGCCCTATTCTGTAACAGGGGCCAGGCACAGGTGTGTTTTTCTCCCCTTACGAAGGTGCAGCCCCTCTAATAACACCCCTATAAAAGCTCAGCTCAAAACACTTTACCTGGAGCTCTCGGTTGTGGTTCTCACACAGGAGCTGAAGAAATCTCAGTATTGGCTGCATGATTGCAATGGCAGGGCTCATGATTGCTTCTTCTGCAGATTTCTCTTCTGCATTTGCAGCATCTGCTCCTGAGCCCATCAAATCTGTTTCTGGGTCCATTTCTCTTCTGTACACAGAGTAAGCCTTGGAGGTTGCAGAAGACGCTTCTGTTAACTGTCCTTTCATTCCCTCTTTCAGATGCAGGGTTGAATCCTTAACTGAAAAGAAGATAATTTTCCTTAATTTGTGAAAGTATTTCTCCCCATTTGATTAAACTATAAGAAAACAATAATAATGAATGCAACTTTTTCTTTGTTGGTGCCTAACTTTCAAAGACCTCGAGGCAACTCACAAAGAATATCAAAGCAACATTCATGCAGGGATAGCACGTTCCAAATAAACCACAAACCAGAGTGAAACAGAACATTAACACAAAAAGCCCTACTATTTCTCTCCCATATACAATAAATGATGGGAACAATGGGAAGACCACAGGGTGGGAAATCAGTTCCTGCGCTTGCTCTTGTGAAATATCCCCAATAGCAGCAGTCTCTGCTTCTGCTCCTCTAAAAATACGGCTCAATATCTTTTATTGATGCAAACTGGCAGAGCTTCACTGCTTTCATTAAGACTAATTCCTTGTGGCCAACCTGAGATGGACTGTAATTTGGAGAAAAATGGGCAAAATATGCAAATTGGCAATGATTAATATTAAAGCTTATTGATCAGCTCAGCCAGTGGTGCAGCACATGCAGTGTCAATATAATGCCCTGCTCCCCTCCTTCCCGGGTGTGCCTCCTTACCTCTCTTTTTGGGAACAGATATGGTGAGGTCGCTGTCATCCTCCTTCTTTTTGCTCCCCAAATCAATAGTGTTCACTGTCACTGTGGATCGGATCTCCTGCTGAGCAGCTTTCATGCGATCATACAGCACTTTAAAGAACCTTTCTGACTTTTTCTGCTCCTTTAGTTGCTGGTAAGTCGAATACTGCAAAAAAAAAAATCTTTAGATATGAATCTTCTAAGGAAGAAGTACGAAAATACACTATTTTTTTTTTTGTGTGTGTGAAACAAATGATGACTAATTACTTCACTTACACAGAATAAATGTTGGCCACAACCTGACCAGTTCTTTCACAAAGTGATACACAAGGCTGGTAATAAAGGCTGATGATCATGTTTTAAAATTTGGGTAAAACGGTGAGCAGTGCTATTTGCAGTCTTTTAAATGTCACAATATTGTACTTGAAGTTTAATTACTTTGTGACACTCTCCATTTCTCCAGGCTTACTATTCCATCTACAAATTACAGTGAAAAGTAACTTACCATGTAACAACAAGAGAAAGCATAGAATATCAAATATGTAGTATTATAGCTTGGACTATATAATTTTTTTTTGTGCTACAGACAGAATTTATTATTAAATATTATTTTAGGTTATTAATTCCAGTCTCTCAGTATAACTGTCAAGCAAGCTGAGGACCATTTCCAATAGTTTGCAAACAATCCCAATTCTCCCAGCCTTTCCTCAATATATCAATTTTCTCTCTTCCCTCAATCATCTGATTTGGCTAAAACTGGGTGAGAGAGATATAATTCACAAAAAAACCCATAAAAACCATAGTTTAAAGCAATTATTTTCTGTTGACTGGGATACGGGTCTTCTCAAATGATCAAGTTATTTTTCTCTTTGGAGATTTTGATAAATGTCTCTGAAGGTTTCCAGAAAATAATGTGTTATTATAAACTTAGAAGCATTATAATTTTTAATTTTACAAAGAGTGCATAAAATAGCTGGGGATAATGCTCACATGGCAATGACCAGATTAAAAGCAGCACAGTGCTACACAGAGAGGGAGAGCTGAAAAACATTTTCTTCTCCTGAAGAGCTACTGCACAGTAATAGGGCATATTTACATTTGTATAACAGTGGTACATATTCTAGTGACCAACTTCTCAGAGAACTCACAGCAAAAAGGTTCTCTTTATTTGTCTCCAGACCACATGCATCTGAGAACCAATATGTGAATAAGCAGATTAAACAAGTACCTGTGTTTGAGTATTTCCGCCCTCAAGCAGCGCAATACCGAGCAGAATGCCCTCAGAGAAAATCCTGTCATTTCTGGTGTTCACTATCACATCTATGACCAGTTCTGAGGCACCTTCTTTGTCCAGGAGGCACTGGATATCAAACATGGTCACCCCAGACTTATCTGCATCTTGTCCTGAAAATCCACCTGCAAATTAGACAAAGACACAAATACTACTCGTGTTTGCTTCACACGGATGTATGAAAATGAACCTATTCGTAGTAATGAAGCACACAATAGCAACGTAATAAATTTAATTTTGAAATTCTGTCAGGCAAAATTCCCTTTGATAAAAACAAGATTTTTGTATGAAACTGCAACGTTGGGCTCCAAGAATAAGAAATAAAACAAATCCCCAAGCCATTGTTCTGTCAGGATATTCAGACAATAAATAAGATGGAAAGGACACTGATTTGTTCACTGAACCCTTTTTTAATTCCACTGCTGCATACACTAAAATGTGAGTAGGGTCAGTGCTCTGAGACCCTTTTTAAATCTGTTCTTCAATCTCAGGCCTAATCTACACCAAAATTGTGTCCTGGTAAATCCACCCTGGTTATGAGTCTTACCTTCCAGCCAAAATCTTTTGCCAACTCCTAGATCATCATCATCACAACTCTTCTTTTAAGAACACAGACTTGAGTTAATCCAAATTAAAGGTGTGGGTTGACTAAATTTTGCTAAATTGTATTAGCTCATTAAATCAACCACTTTTTATTATCACAGATGATTATCTTTCCTGCTATACTTACCTCTCTAAAGATGTAACTGTGCCTACTTCATTAGCAAAAATACAGTACTGCTTTAATCAGCCAGTACTACTTTGATTAAACTGATTAAAATGCTTCAGACTTTGTGATGAAACCATACACACACACACTTTTTAGAGAGAACTAAAAAAATAGTAAAACTTCAGTCTCTTATTTGTTAGAGAGCAAAATTTGGTGCATAGGATGTTAAGACTGAAAAGATTTCCAGCGTCTACGCTGAAATAGTTAAGGAGGAACAGCTGGGCAAAAGTTGACAAATCTGGGCATGCCTTCAGCATGCACTGAAAATGCAAAATGCAGTTCTGACCTGGCGCTATACCTAGCTCCCAACTCATTTCCTATGACATTCATTTTTATGGGTTTTCCTAGAAACCACCCTGCAGTAACTTCCTGTGGCTTCTACAGCAGAATGATACCAAAAAATAGCTTATAATGGACCTACAGAGATCATCTACTGAAACCTCTTGCCCACAGGAAAATAGGGACAGGTTCATCAGAGTCTCGTCCAGTAAAGTTGTAACAAGAACTAACACATTTTACCACCTCTCAGGAAAATCTGCTCCATTGCCTAAACAGTATCTTTGTGAGAAGCTCTTCCTTAGATCTTATCTTTTTCATATATCAATAAAGGATTGTAAAAGAGTTCTTTAGTTTCCAGAAACAACACCATCTCTCTTCACAAGTTTTTTGCTTCGCTGAAGTTCTGGATGGGGATTTACTGGCACCTACTTTGGTACCTCCAAATGCACCATCTGAGACAAGTGTGTGCAACTTAAAAATAAAAGAGTCTGATACTACCTCTCTTCTAAGTGGTTACAGAACACGTTTGATTTATTTACCAGCTGAATGCCTGGAGCATGTCCAATGTGCCTATTAGAAAAAATGGTGCTGCTAATTTTGCTCTCTTGAAATGATGTGTGTTGATTTACCTCCCACTTGTGCAGTTTTGCTGTAGCTGGCAGACAGGGGCCCATTCATACCACTTCCATATTCCCCTTTAAAGTACCGATACAGGAGGATTTTCCTTAAAGTGTTGCCCTTTAAGAGAAAGATAAAAATAGAAGAAATGAGAGTTGTGGCCAATTTCCTTTGTTTGAAAAGCAAGTTGTTTAACACAGATACATAATTTAGTAGGTCTTTCCATTATAATTAGTAAGCACACAAACAGGAAAGTTTTCCAGAAAACAAGTATCTAACGGTCTTGTCTAACAAATCCCAGGGGAAAAATTCTAAAATACTTCTAAAAACTTTTTTTGAAGTTTGTTTTAAACTTATTGATTATAAATAAAACACCTCCACTTCAGTAATTCTGACTGGCTATCTGTGAGATGGGTATATTGAAACAAGCTCCACAAATAGCCAGGTCTCTGCAGTCAGTGCGTCTGTGCCCTACCCTGCCATGGCAGCACTTTCTTCCTATTTTCTGCAGCTGAGTAGTACCACTCCCTTTTCTCTGATCTCAGATAATCCAGCTGATCATCTGAAAGAAGCCACATCACATAAAATATTAAAACAGAGATATGACATTTGATAGAACAGCTTAAAAAGCATTCTCTGTATTGCCTTGTTCCTTGACTTCCAAAACCACAACCAGTCAAAATTTGCATGCAGCTCTCTGAAGATCTTCCCTTTCATTTTACTTATGTTCTGCAACACAAGACACGCTGGATTGAGAGTTGGGGGTACCAATTACTTGGCATTTTTATTTTGCCTTCAGTCTCCACAGAACACCTGCAGCCAACACTCAGCTTGACAGAGACAGAAGGTGGCACAACAACTGTAGGCATGTGTAACCTCAGATTCCATAAAGAGGAATAAGTAAGGTCTCCAATGCTCAACACAGAAGGGGGAAAATGGTCACTTCAAGCATTTGGCATTAAAATGGAACATTTTTTCCCCTACTTTTACTAAACTGCTGGTTTTAACAAAAGAAATTCTAAAAAATATATGCAATAGAAGCATTCTCAGCACTCAGCAGCTTGCCAGTGCCTGCACATTAGTGCAAGTCAAGTTTTTAATCAAAACATCTTTGTGGCTGCCACAGACAGCAGGGAAGCAAGTCCCAGGCACTCCCACACTCCCACTTCCCTGTTAACATGGGCAATATTTCCAGTGGCTACCACACACCACAGAGGGGCTTCACTGCTTCATGGGCCTTGAAGACAATGGCCATGTCCATCTGAAAAAAGTGCCAAAATACAGGACTTTGTGTGCTGCCTGACAATACCAACCAGCCCTTCTTTCCTAGTTCTCCCATTTTGATGTTTTCATTTGATAATAGTCTGTACAGAATTCCCTCATACAGTCAAGGAAAGTACAAGGCCTACAGTAAAATATCAAAAGCTATAAATACAATAGCTGCAAGAAAAATAAGAAGCATCACCTACAGGGAGTTTACTGGGTGGATTTTCCAGGTGAGATTAATCCAGTGTGCTCTGCACTACAGAGCAAGGCAAAGAACCAGAAGTCGCTGAGGACCTCACACAGAGACAGATTCCTTCCCAGCCTGGTTGTGATGGGGTTTAACCTGGAGTGGTACAGTAATGGACAAGGTACAATAACTAAGCTCACAGGCAATTTTAAGATGGGTAAGAGCACCAGCTCCTCCTGCTCAACATCCCATCTTTAGCTGGGACCAAATTCCAGCGTCTCACAGCAAAGTGAACCTTATTTTCCTCATCTCCTGAAGAAGAAAAACCTATTAGTGATGGCAAAAGAGTTCCCACCAGAACTGATTAACATGGACTGAGAAGAAGGGGCTAAAGCCCCTTTTCAAGATTTCCCAGGCATATATATCATAGTATCATAAAACAGGATCACACAAATAGGATCACAGAGCAGAAACCCTTCCTAAGTCCCAACTAAGACCCAATCCAGAACGGGCACTGTCTCAAGACATGATCTTTTCAACAGAAAGGCTGGCATTTGCCATAGCACTTGACTAACCACTCAGCTTGAGTCAACCTCCTCAACTGGCAACCTCTGCAGTCTGTTGATGACTAATGGTACATTATATAAACAGTCACAGAGCAGTCATGGGAAGAGGCACCAAAAGCCATCTATATATAGTTAAGAATACTACCTGTGGTCACAAGCTTTATTGTTCAACCAAAACAGCCCTTATTTTATCAAGAAAAACGTTTAAAACTATAAAATAGCTTTTGACTAATAAACGGAGTGATTTAGTACCGGAATCTGAATATCTCAAAGTAAGTAACTGCCAGCACATCTCAGATCTTCCTCCTGCCTTGTTACCTTCAAATACACCAGAGGATATGAAGATGTTTCTCCAGCTGGCTACAGAAAAGGGAGTCCTGCTCCACCCATATCCAAACTAAGGACCAGATTTCATTTCTTCTTCCAAGAAGTCTTAATTATTAGGATTCCTGCTCTCTCTCAACCTTCCTTGAATCCAGACAATAGTTATAGTTCCCAGAAGCCAAAGTGTCAAGAGTCAAGGATGCTGTGTTTGAAAAGCAGAAATGTGGTGGAACCTCTGCTTTGCCTGACAGCTGTGTCAGAAATGCACCCCCAGGCTCAACCCACATATTTACAAACTCAGGATCTTCATCTCCTCTGCGATGACCTCAGGCAGCCATATGACTTCCACGAGTCTTGTGAAATGAGCTGCCACTACAAAGAGCAGAAGAGCACAGCCACACGAACTGGGGCTGAGAAATGCACAGAGAAACGCCCAAGGAAAGTATCAGAAACGCCCGTCACCTCCAGCATGTGACTGTGAGGCACCATCCTAGAAAAAGCTGGAAAGGCCCTGCTTCCAGAAAAAGTGCTGATCCTGCTGCCATAGGTTTGTGGGAATGCTTTTATGGGAATGCCAGCAAACACAGTCAAGAACAGCCCCATCACACGGATGAGACCGGCCGCTGCCAGGACAAGCCAGACAGCCACGCCATTGATGTCCTTGGGAATGGATTCCTAACTTAGCACAGCCACAAAATTAATACTGCCCAAAAGCAAACAATCACAGCAGCAGCATGAATAAGCAGTTTGCTGCAGCTACTACTGACACTTGTGGCACTAAATCAGAGACCAAAAATAAAAGCACACTAGGCAGCGCAGTGCTATCTTCCCCGATTACGTTTCTATATGATGCAGAAGGCCTGGCCTTCCAAGCTGAATCTCTCCCCTGCTGGCTACAATACACTTTCTTTTATACCTCTTATTAGGGTATGGAAGTGACATGTAAACATCACTCAGCTGACTGCAGCCCTTCCATAATGGCTAGAACATTGTATAGCTTTGGAAAAAACACAATGAAACATAACAGTCTTATTGTTGCTGATGAATACCACTGCATTGTCCCTAACAAAAGCTAGGATAGAGACTGAGGATGCAAGAAAGCAACAACTAGATATTGTTGTTGCAGTTTTAAATAGCTGGGGATTGACAGGAAAAAGTTTCCAATAGGGAATAATTATTCTAGTAGGAACATGTAGACACAAACAAATTCTATTTTCTCAGTCCTTATTTCATTACATTCATTGGTCTTTAAACTTGATTTAAATATCTTAATACAATGGTTTATTCACTTGCCCTCTCTGAGCCTGCAAAAGGCTAGCTCCACATGTGGATGTGCCAGGAAGCAATGGCTGAGAGAGCTTTATATAAGGCTTATCATGGATACCTGCATCAGCATCAGCTCTCTCTATTACACCACCAAAACTTATCTGTCCTGCCTTATATAGCTCTGCACACTTCTTAAGGAGCGGGAATTGTACATATGACATTCCGGAGGCTGAACTAGAGGGTCTGGTGATCTTTTCTGGTTCTTAATCTGTATTAAATTAATGAAGTGGAAATGCTCAGATTATCAATGATTACACGGAAAAGGCAGCTACATCCAACCAGTATTTCTGTGATACAGTGGATGATGTATCACATGCATGTAATTAATGCTTATATTTCAGCATTAATCCAGGAAGAGGTGTGAAAACTAGGCTTATTAAATCTTCACATTTGAATAACTTGCAGCCAAGTATAAAAGAGGAGCTGTTGGGGATCTCTGGTGTACTAATACAGGTTTTCAGAAAGTTCAGAAGAGACACAAAATCCCAGAGAACTGTGAGACATCTCACATGCAATGATACTTTTCCAAATGTTCCAGAGAGTATTTCTTACACTTTCTAATGATATCCAGCCCCCTGCCATGAGTTTGATGTCAGTTCTGGGAGTGGCAAAGGCATAGCTGATTTTGCATTCCATTAACACAAAATTAAAGGAAGCTATTATATATTGATGGCAGTTTGAATGTTGGCATCATGTTGCAATAATTGCCTCGATACAGGTTTGCCAAAACAGACCTTCTGAAACTTCTGAAGATTATCTTCTGCTGTTGCTAATAATGAAAATACTATTCTGGTAAAGTTTGATAAACTGTGAAATGTGACACAATCCTGTAAGGCAAAATTTTTGATTAAGTAAGCCCAGAAGGATAGCTATCAAGTGGCTTAACAACTTGGTGACTGACAGAATTCCATGTGCAATTCAAAGCAAAAAATGTATGGGCTTCTAATGGGTAAACTCATGAAGTATGTATTGTCTGCCTCATTCGGGGTTTTTCTTAATGAAATTAAAACATACAGAAAATAATTACTAATTGTATTTGGAAAGGACACACACACAAAAAAGGGGATAAAGTCAAGTCACTGCTAACAATTTAGGCATCGTTTATTAAACTGACTAGAAGTAAACAATATGAGTGTCATTATGTCCAAACCTCTGTATGTCTTATTAACAATAAAATACAGAACACGCCCAAAAAATGGAGGATTCTGGTCAAGGAAGTCATGAATTTGGGGAAGAATGAAAAGCCTAGGAGAAAAATCAGTGCAATGACAACTCCCCAAATCCCACAGTTCTGCAAAGAGTAAAAAGAGCTGTTATGTGGAATATGTGAGACTCTCTCACTTATTCACATGCACATTACTGCAGCAATACCACATCACAAGCTGGTGTCCACAGTTCAAGAATGCTGACAAATTGGATCAGGTTTGGAGAAGCTCCATGAGAGTGATTAG